CTGGAAATTCAAAAGTTATCATTACCATTAGCCGGGAACAGAAACTCTAGACTATATTTTTCATCTTAATTTTCTTTTTCAAAAGCAAATGGAGAAAGTTGCTGCTCTTTCTAAACTTGTTTCAAATATTAATGTATAATTTCTAAAGGCCTTAAATTTGCAAATTTTGCTACATGGATGTTAGTTTAAGCTGAACTTTTACAACAATAATCTTTATAATTATTTGTTAATTAATAATGATTATGATAATAATTATTTGCTTTTTTTAGTAGGCACTATGGGAACCTTCCTAGCAAATTATCTTTATCACTGACTTTCAAATTGTCAGTAGGCTACTAAATATCAATATTCTCTTCAAAATTTTGAATTGAAATGTCGCCTTTGAGTAAATTCAAGTATAAAAAATTTCAAATTATTAGAAAGTTTTTAAAATTGCTGAAAAATATTTTTATTAAGCATCTTTGCGTTTTTGCATTTATCGAAAGCAGTTCTTCTAACAATTCCTTGAGAATTTAGACTTGATTTTTTTAATCTTTGTGGTAAAAGTTTGATAATTTGTTTGCTGAACTTTTTGACAAAAACAGTAATTGAATATAGAATATTATAAATAAATTTAAATTTTCTTTTGTACTATAATGGTTAACAAAACTCTAGAGGAAAAAACACGAGAAAGAGTTTTTTCTTTAATTCATTTATATTAGCTGTGTACTGACTATTTCCTGAAATCAAGTGTACTTTAAGTTTTTTAGAACAATAATGCTAATTATAAGCATGTATATTAAGTTTTATAATAACTCATTCTTAATTTTTATTATTCATTTCTTTTTGTGATTGATTTTTAACTGTTTTATGTTTTTTTTCTCACTGGTGCGCAGTTAGACAGTCACAGTGAAAATGCAACACTTTTGATTTTAGAATCGGAGGAATAGTTTTAGAATAAGTATTCAAAATGACCTATGAATAATAAATAAATACCAGATATCATTCATTATTCTCTACAGCTTAGCCTTCAGTCTATTCTCTAAAAACCAGTAGTAAGCTGCAAGATTACTTATGACTACACCTAATGATTAAAATAAAGAGATCGTTTGAATAATACGAAGGTAAACTTTTTTTGAAGAGTTTATTTACATTATTTAAATATTTTTCAAACATGACTCTAATGGTTTAAAGTCAAGTTTGAAAAATATTTAAATAATGTATATTAGTATTTTTCAAACATGACTTTAATGACTGCATGCAAGATTTCAGCCAGAATTTTATTTTAGAAGAGAAGTATATCTGTAACAACACATATTGATGAATTATGAGGAAAAAAACATGGTTAATTCCTGGTATAAACAGTACTGTACGGAATTATGGTATTTTGCAAGCATCATTATTTATGGATGTACAACTTTTTATTTATTGGCAAAAGTTTAATTTTAAACTTTAAAAACTTTCTTTAAGCTTTAATAACTTATTTTTTTCTGTCAAACATTCTTAGCCTTTTAATTTATTAAAAAAGTTATATTTTATTATAGTGTAACACCTTATCTGGACTTTATAACTGCCGGCATTCGGTGAGGAAGTTGGTTTGACCAGAAGGTTTTGCACTTTCTTCATGCAGAGTTTTAAACCACCAAATTTCAGAAATTACTACTAAAGAAATTCTTTATTAATTGATAAAATTTTTCCATGTGCAAATCCATTTCGGGAAAATACGTGGTTAAAATTATCTACTAAAATTTTTTTTCTTTGTTAATTTATATAATTTTTCCATGTGCAAATCCATTTCGGGCAAATCCGAGGTTAAAATCATTTGTAGAACAGGCAATTTATGTTTTTCTTTCCTATTTTATATTTTTTCTTAAATAAACACCTATCTTCTAAAGCTATTTATGGTCAACTTTTTAAAATTATCCAGTATAATATTACCTTGCGCACATCCACTTCGGGCTCATCCTTGGTAACTAACAATTCAATGCACAGAATAACAAATCACTTCAGCAGTGCAGTAAGAACGGCACTTTAAAACCCTCTAGTTACACTCAATTTGCGCTTTTGTTTTCATATTTTGTAATCTGGCAATCTTGTTGCGAAAACATTGTTAAATCATTCTTGAAAAATTTCCCATCTATGTAAGTACATCAGATTTTGCTACTCGCTTTATAGTCCATGTTGACTCTTTTTTCTTTTTATTTTATTTTATTTTCTGTTTTTACATGTTATTTTTACTTATTGTGTTCTATTTTATATGTTGTAATTTTTATAAAAAAATTTTTGAGTGCTCCTCACACTATTGTATTAATATATTTTGCTTTGGCTATATTGATACAATATCAGAAAGCACTCTTTTTTGCGGATATAATCGTGTGGGCTGATGAAAAGATTATATCTTTTTTCCCCCCGTTTTTTTTTAAATAAAATTTCATCTTTTTTTCTTTTTAAACTGTTGTTTCTTATTTTTTTACTTATTATTTTCTCCCCCTTTTTCATATGTCTATAATTTTTCTTTGTTTTATCTTCATTTTGAACACACAGAAATTATGAATTTAGTTATTTATCACATAAGTTCATGTTTAATACCCATTTATACCATAATACCCATTTCAAAAACATATAAATGTAAATTTTGAATATTTTAGCTGGATTTAGGAATCTTGCATAAAATTCCCAAGTCTAAAAAAGTTAAAGCTTTCCAGAAAGATCAATGCCTCCTTATAAGGATAATTAACTCCAGAAATATTTTCTCTGAGAATTTCAAGATACAGTAACTGTTAGGATATTTTAAAAGATTTTGTCCATAATGAAACTTTAAAAAACAATTATGCTATTTATGCCCATACAAATTTTATACCAACTATAATGTCCTGAAGATTTAGTAGCTTTTGAAATGATCTTTGGTTCCTTTTGAATTGAGGCAATATGACAAAGTATCTGTTTTTGTAGTAGAAAAAATAAAACAATAATTTTTTTTCCAAGAAAAAAAAAACTATTTTCATAGAATGAATATTTTCAATAAATATTTTATTATATCATGAATATTTAATGAATATTTTCAAGCAAGGAAGCATTGATTGTAATATTATGAAAACAAAAATAACAAAATTCATATTATAAAACGACAATTAACCTTCAACCATACGCATAAGTACAGTGAAGTTAAGATATTTTTATTAAGGACGACAGCCTTTGGAAGCCCTTTGGGTGTATAATTTTGCCTTCCTGAAAAAAAAAGAAGAAAAAAAAGGGGGGAACAAAGTAGCTATCAAAATAAAGTTTCACCTTTAAAAGCATGCTTCAGAGATTTTTTCAACTGCCTTTGCTGTAAGGTAAAAATAATTTTAAAAAATGAAAGCAGGTGTAAAATTTTTGAGCACTGCTCTCCTCCTTCTATTATTCACAGAGAATAAATTGAACATCAAACTTCTAGATGCCAAAGACACCATATAATTTTTCATTGTGTCACGATTCTGAAACACACACACATATATATATGTATATAGATAGATATTGAAATTTGCGAAAATCCCTTATCTTTTTGTGATTTCTTTTAAAAAGTACAAAAATTACTTAGAAAATTTCTTGTAATGTTTTTATTTTTAAGTTATTGAAATTCTCTTTTTCTTAGTAGCTAAATAAAATTTCCTACAAAATTACGAAAAAAATTTTTTAAATTTTTTCCACACTTGCACAGTGTATAAAAATATTTATTTTAAATACTCAAATTTTATGCTGTTTTTGTCAAATTTATTTCAAATTTTAAAACTATAATTTTGTAATTAATTTTAAAATGATTCATATTCATATTTTTTAAATGATTCATATTTTTATCGAATAATTTTAAAGATAATAATGTAAAACAAAAACATATATTTTTTATAAAAATGTCCATATTTCCAGAAATATTTAAACTAAGTTTACAAAAATTTGTGTTGCCATTTCAAATAACAATCAAAGTAATTGATACAAGCTTATTTCTTGACTATCTGTCGTAGGGTGTCTAAAAATATTTGTTTTCGTTATTGTCGGTCCCCTCAAATCTCTGAAGGCATTAACCTTTATTGCTAAGTAAGAAAAATTGCACCTCTAAAGTTGATAAATAATTTTCTAAGCATTTATTGAGAAATTTTAAGAATTGTCAAAAACTGAAAGTGTCTTTACCATTATTTTAAGGTAATGTATATATATATATATATTAACAAACTAAACCTAAAAACCTTTTTAAATCTACGAAAATATTAAAAAAAAAAGGAATTCATTTATTTTCACATTGAGGTTAATAAAAACATTTACAACAGGAGATGCCTGATTATAACAAAAAATCAGTTATCATAATTCAAATTATATGACATATAATTTAACCCCCCTGCCAGTTGGCAATAGTAGCAACATACCCTCAGTACATTGCTAAAGATTTCATTTAAAACCTATTTAATCTTTATTATGGTTTTCTATAATCAGCTAAATCACTGATTTATAAATTCTCAAACATGATGTGTGCTATTTATAATTCATGTCAAAATGAAATGCAATATGTCTTCATGTCAAAATGTAAATACAAATCACAGTGAATTCCTAAATTTGTTAGAATAAAAATCAGGATAAGTAATTTGAAAACAATGTTAATGCAAAGATCATTGTACAATTCATAAATTGAAGGAATAAGACTCACTCTGGTTATTAATAACTTACATGAAAAGATGAGATAGAAATAAAATGAGTTTCCTTCTGTTATCAGTTGACATGTGACTAATGCAATGTTATGGAGATGGGAAGACAAAACAAAAAAAATCCTTCTATTCGATAAGTTAAAAATCTCTCTACATTTAAATAAATATAAATAATTTAGTTTTCTGATTAAACTAATTCAAGAAAATTCATATTGAAGGTAGACCGTATAGTTATGCTAACTTCTGAAAATGGAAAAAAAGGAATTTTCTGCTAATTTTTCAAAATTGCATAAATAAGTTTAATCGAATTCCCCCCCCACCCCCCAAAAAAGGAATAAATAAAGTAAATATTAAGATTAGTTGTTCTTTAAATATTTGGATTTTTTTTTAAAAAAAAGGCAAAGATTATTTAGTTTTTAGACAAAAGAGTATATGGCTGCAAGAGTAATGCAACAATTTGTTGAAAAACATTGCTGTTAGCGATTGTATGAAAATGTGTGATTGGTTGGTTTGCAGAGAAAAAATAACTTATAGATTTCTTTCAATGGGAGTTCAAAAGCTTTCAGAAAAAGAGTGAAATATAAAATCTATTATTATTAAATTATAACCAACAAATTTTTTGGAGAATTTTATTAAGTTAAAAATAGAAAAACATTTTGACACATTTTGTCAAAATAGAAAAACATAACCACCAAAGCATCGGAACAAACTTGAGCCATAAACTGATTCAGCCCACAGACAGAATTTAAAAACAGAAGCAAATATCTTAACCCCTTCTTCCACGTCCAGCACAATCTTTGCTTTTCTTAAATTGCACAGTCCCATAGTCTCCATAGAGATCAAAGGTTTATACATTTGTTTACCAACCATGGGAGAATTTTATGCAGCTTTCTAGTTTAACAGGCTTATAATGGAGCAAATTTTGATGCAAGCAAAGTATAGCTAAGTGGATGACATTTTAACTGTTTGGAGATAGATTTCCGTCTAAAAAATATGGGTATAATGGATCAAATAGTTTAAATTAAGAAAATTAGTAAATAATTTAAATTAGGGAAATTAAACTTTCCAGCTCTTCTTTAAACTTCCCCGATTTTTATCCAAATTTCCCTGATTTTTCCAGGTTTTTCTAGTATAAAAAAATTTCCTGATAATTCTAGGTTTTCAAGGTGGGTGGCCACTCTGGGAACATATCAATATATCAGCCCTTCCCAATTAATATCCTCGTTACTCAAAAATTAGTATAAACAAATTAGTTTCACGAACAGTAATTCTAATAGATAGCACTTTTAAAAGGATCAAAAAACTTCTTTTCAGAAAGAAAGTTTTTCATTATATTCAAGAAAGTTTAATTTCCAGATAGTTAAGTTCTCAACAATAACTCAATCGTTATAAAGCATACTATCCACATTTGGTTAAAAATTATTAGATTTTCAAGTTTCTTATAATTTTAAAACTGATATACTTTAATATGAATTTTATAAGGATATTGTATCATAAATAAAAATAAATAATTTACTTAATATGATTTATTAACAACTTACTTTTCTCAGCACAATCATAGAAATCGTTTTACAGATGGTTTGACAGACTGCAGTTTGTAGAAACAAAATACTTCACAATGCAAAACATCCAGACCTCTTGTGGGCATGATTCAGAGGCCCCACTGATGGAAGCCAGTCAAAAAATTTTTTAAATAATGACAACAGGGTGGTTCGTTAACTATTTCATAGCAATTCTGCCATCCTAAAATAATTAAAAAGACAGACTTTGTTACGTAATTGTAAAAACAATCAGTTTAAAAGTTATTTGTAACAAATTTATGTAAACAGGTAAAATTCAATTTTATGCATAAAAATTATTAATGTATTGTTGCACTTATGCCAAATCAAATCCATACAAAGCTATAATAAGCTTTCTTCTCATATATAATGTGTTATGAATATTCGGTTTAGATTTAATTTAAATTAATAACTTTATAATGCATTATTGTTATTACAGAAAACCAAACTTTTTCTTTTTTTTTAAAACGAATGTTAAATGCCTTTATTTTCCTCTTTTTTTCTTCAAGAAATGAGCCATTTTTTAAATACTTAAAAAGAAAATAATTTAAATACTGTGTCAATATTCGTGGAATTCAATATTCTTCTAATTTATTTATAAAATGTAATTTTCAGTAATCTAAAGTTAGCCCATAAAAAATAAATAAATAAATAATTTTTTTTAAAAAAATAGCAAATAAAATGTATGCCCTTTAACAAAAAATTTTTTAAATAAAAAGGGAATTATTTATAGAAAATTTGAGACACTTCACAAAAAAAAGGAAATTTTATAATTTTTTTCCCAATTCTTTAACAATTGTAGCAGGCTTTAAAGTTTATCAAAATATTATGAACAAAACAGTAACTTAAGCACAGTTGCTAGAGAAAATAATTTTAACAAAATAATTTTACAAATCATAAATGAATTCATATTTATAAAATATGCTTAAAGGCATAGTTAATTATATTATTTTAACTAAACTCTTTTCAGAAATTAAATATTTTTAATTTATAATTGATAATTAATGAAGCTTTTTGAATTGTTCAATATACCATATGATAAATATTGGGCACAATCATTAAATGCAGCAACAGCTACTTCATAGACTTAAAAAAATTATCCACAATTGTAAAGGCATTATAAATTTCAATGGCATATGGTCCATTTTTGGCCCACAACATAATATAGCAAAATTAAAGATTTTGATGGCATTTGCATTTTTGGATACTTATGCAATATTAGAGAAAGTCTTTTGATTAATGGCGCATATTATTAGTTTTTGGGAAGCAATTTTCTTTTTAGAGCAAATGTATATTGTATAACTTAATAAACAGTAAAATTTAGTAAAAGAGGCTACATGAATCACCTTATGGCAAAAAAAATTTCACACGAAAATTTTTGAATAATCCTAATGTGCATTAATTGTCCTTAAATATATACAGTCGAATTTGCCTACAACTAGTGCGAAGGGACCATCATATTTGCCCATTATAACCAACTTCTTGTAAGGAAATTAATAAGGGTTTATACATAAATTATAAATATAGTTGTGACTTTATTTTTTTGTTTCTGCATAGTACAAAAGCAGTCAGTCAATTTTTTTTCTCTTTTTTTTTTAAGTTCATGCGTTTGCCTTTGTTGGATTTTTGTTCAACCTCTCAATTATCTAGAGATCGGAGGAGAAAATAGATATCAATCCTAAAAATATTACTTGCTAGAATCAGGATTTACTTGTTAAAAGCAACAGTTATGCTCTTCTTAACATTCTACCAGACAAGTGTTTCCCATTTTTTTTGTTAAATCTGGGCTCTCGTTAAACTAGTTTGTCTACATAATTTATACAACAATGGATCTATTTACAGTACAGATTGTCATGACAAACCACTCTGAACAAACCTATTTGCTATGGGCCAGGATAGCCTGGTTGGTAGGGCAATGGGCCCATGTTCAAGAAGTTGTGGGTTCGATCCTGGCCGAAGACTCCCTGCATAGTAAATGGTGACTGATGCACATTAAATCTGTGGGGTACAAAGCCTTCTATGTTCCATAACAAATTAATACCCCTGGGGGTACCGATCAGGGAGTTCTCGTCTTCTGGATTGGGTTCAAAATTACAAGGCTACGGAGTTGAACATTAGTAGTCGTAAACCCGAAAATTGAGTTGGCTGTTCAACAACGGTTATAAAATTAAAAATAACTTGTTTGCTAAATGCCATCTGGTTTCAATATAGCTAGTTGCAAAACTTAGAGGTCCGAAGAAATGTTTTAAATTTTGATTTTATTTAAAATATCCTTTACCCCTTCCCCAGAATTTTAGTTCAGTTGCTGGGGATAGGCTAATTTTTTTTTACAGGTATTGCTTTTTTTAAAATTTTTTTGGGGGGTATTACTACTCGAGATATGAAGGTACACCCTGTCGCTACCTAAATAGAACAGATTATATTTAAAAAACTCATTCCTGGTCAGTCTTAAGACCATCATGATAAAATAACTAGTTTCTGTAAAAGAACTCTTTTTCTTGATTACATTAGCCACCATAAAAAGAGAGATTTTTCGGTTCGATTTCACAGATAGGAAAATAAACCCAGAAATTGAGAATCTCTACAAAATGCAGCCGAGTTACACATGCGAATGCAAGAATAATTCCCACTGAATACAGCTCACTATGCGTACATGGAGACCCGCAAGCATTTCATCAAACGTGTAAAATCATAGGCACTTTCTTGTGCTACGGAATGATGGTACGCCAAAATGCATTGCAATTGAATGAATTGTGAAAACGTTGAATAGAACAATGTGAAAACCATGCCTTTGTATAAAATCTTATTTTCAAAAAAGGAAAATTAAGCACTTTTTAGAAAGACCCAATAAAAAAGAACCTCTAAGGGCTTTTAAAAAACGAAAATAGCACTTTTTAAAAACGCTATGCACCCTGATAACCTAATGATTCAACCACACAAATGTTTTTTTTTTTTAAAATAAAGCAAACCCATGTCCATTTTAGGTAGAAACAGTCATCACAAAGCAACAGATTTGGCCAAATATATGAAAAAATATTTCATTTCCTTAATTTAACTATCCGTATTTTATGAAAATAAAACTACATTTCCTACAAATAATTTTTTTTTTACTAGCTTGTAATTTCTTAGAAGAAAATTAGAAGGACAGTAATTACAGTCAATAAAGTCACCCACAGATTTTTTTAAAGGTGAAATTAAGATTATTGACTCGAAATGGTAGTGCAATTAAACTTTACTGTCCTGTACAGAAAATCTAACTAAAGCCCTCTATAGTCTTTTCAGCACTTTTTACACTTGGGACAATAATTGCAGAAAAGTTGGAACACATACATTTCTCTCTGTAATACTTAAAAAGTTCAGAAATGTGTGCAGGGGACAATGATGAAAAATATAAAAATTATTTAAAAAATATAAAAATACAAAATATGTTTAATGCATATTATTTTTAATTCTTTGCATGTATTAAGCCAAAAAAAAAAAAATCATTAAATAATAAAAATAAATGTTTTAATGAGAAATATTATGTAATGATGCAAAAGTTGACAAATTGAAGAAATAGTCCATTTTTATATATAGAGAGAAATTTTCATGCTAAACATTTAATTTTTTTATAAGAGTTGGTGAAGGAAAATATTTGAAAATATTTCAGTAAGTTTTTAGTTTAATCATTTAAATGTTTATAAAATTATATAATGATAAAACACCAAAAATTAGTAGGCTTTAACAAATCCCAGATAAAATGTTTTTCTTTCCATTTATTGCCATAAAAAGATAAATATGAAGTTATATTTAAAAAACGCAATGGAATTTGTTAGTTTTAACAAAAATATACTTACTTTGCATGAAGGTTATGATAGATTTGTTTCATAAAGTGATGATTTCGATACCATTGCTGAAAATTAAATATTTTGAAATAAAATTAATAAATGAAAATGTAACTTGAAGACAGATATTGCAAGAAACAGACACTTTTGACATATTTTGCAAATTTAAGTATAGGGCTTAGTAGAAAAATAGTAAAATTAGTAACAAATATGTTGAAAAATTATTATAGTACAGGAGTATATTGTAAATGCGCACAGTCTTAGTGGATAGAGTATTCGCTTTCCAAAGAGGTGACCGGTTTGAATCCAGCAGTGGCTGGTTGATACGAATTCTGTTCCAGGACCAGAGTGCTGATGTTAAATATCCTCAGTAGAAGATGAATCATAGGTTAGAATCCTTTTGTCATCGTGCTAACCATAGAAGGGTTTTCCTCTCCATGCAACGCAAATGCAGGATGTTAGTCTCATCAAAAACAAAAAGTCCTCCAGGAATGCCAGTTTGTTTTAATGCTCAATCCAGGAGTTCCTTGCTTTCTGGGTTGAATTCAAAATTAGAGTACTACAGAGTTAAACATTGAAAGTTGTAAACTCAGACTTGGGTCGGTTGTTGAATGCTGGTAATAAAATAACAAAAAACATATCTATGTAGGAAGAACAATGCTAAAGAAGAACAAAGTAGGAAGAACCATGTTATAGTACAGAAGTATACTGTGGATGCATGATACAATAAAACAATGTAGAAAGAGCCATGTTGATGAACATAACATTTTATTATTATAATACAGGGGTAAAAATTATTTTTGTGTAAAGTATATTATAGATTGTTTTATTTTACCATGTATACACAAAAGTATATTGTATATGCATGGTACAATAAAATAGTGCATGAAGAAAAATTTTGACAATGTAGGAAGAACCAATTTCAGTACTCACTTGAATTGCTTGAGCGGCAATATTTTTAATTTCATCAGCATGAAGTGCATCATATATTTTTAGTACTTTGACAATTTTATAATGATTCTTCATAACTGCTAAATCAAGTGCAGTAATCCTAAAATAACCAAAAAATTAAGTGCAAGTAATTAAAGTCTTAAAAAAAAGTCTTTAAGTTGAACTATTGAATGGATATGCAGCGTTTTTTGGTTATTTTAGACTTTACAGTTATTTAAGTTTAAATTTACGCAATCAATAATTGAATTTAGATGCATCGAAACATTTGTTCGTTAACAAAGGAATATTAACTTCAGAAGCTAATTTAGATAAGATTTTATTCAGTAACAATTTGCAAATATTTTAAGCATTTAGGAACCCAGAGTAGCTAGAATTAAGCACTCCCAAAGGCAGGGAACAAGTTGAAACGCATCTTTGTTTGTTTAATAATTTAATTTTTGGAATAATCAATATTTTCTATCCAAAACCTTCTTTGCCAAGATTCAATTATAAAGAGAAATATACTGATATAGAAAGGTATTTTGTTAATTTTTCATAATATAATCAAAGTAAAATAATTTTGTAATTTTCTTTAAAAAAAAATATTAAAAAAAGAGGGAAAACTTTTCAAGGCATATTTATTGATTGCATAGTCATTAAATATTATAGATTCATTTTAACAGTTTCTAAGATGTTTTGAACGTAATTTACAATAATAAATATAAATCATTCAAAAAGAGAATAGGATATACTTTATGTTACATTGACTGAAGCAAAAAAATATAGATTAACTACTAATAAAGTAAGCAATAAACATACTATGGTTCCCGTTCTCCAAACAAGAACCTTTTCCAGTGTCTAAATAATCATGATTTTTTTGCTTCGAATATAAGTTATGTTAAACTAAAGGTGCACAGATTCAATAACGTATGATAGCTCTTTATAAACATCTAAAAATGTCCAAATTAGTTATAAATTTTTTTTAAAAAAAAGAGTACATCTTTTATAAATTCTCGCAGCATTCAGGGATAGTTATATATAATCTAAAATTTAAAAATCTAAAATTTTATAAAAATAATTGCAAGTTTTTTTCTAACTTTTAACAAAATAATATCAATAGTTTTAAGAAAATACACATTGGTAAAAATTTTCAATGCTAGTAATATAAAGTTTTAATTTAATAAGATTAAATTACAATCACAAATATAAAACTGTTAATATAAATATTAAAAACTTAGATGCCAAAACTGTACATGGAAACCTCAGTTTAGTTGATACAATGTATAACTGAACAAAAATTAATTTATGAATGATTCCCTCCCCCCAACCAATAAGCTACAATAAAAAAAAATTTGCAGCTTCTGGCAATAATCTATCTCTGGATTTAAAGTTAATTA